AACTATAGCTAGTAGTTTAGGTGCGGGATTGTCAATCCCGTATAGATCTATACACAAGTATCACGCTCTCCCTCCAAGAGATTATGGTATATAATACAGGACTTGAAATGCATACAAAAATGTACGTTGAAGTTTGAATATCTCACATTGCCTAGTATAAGTAGATTTACAATGAAATGACCTTACTTCTTTTGAAAGTGTTTCGTTTTTCAAGATGTATATGTAAAATGTAGGACTGACTTGTTAACTATACCCATTATAGTTTTTCAGATAGTATGTTCCATTTAGTAGAAATAACTTAGTGACATAATCGCTCTTGTATACATAAGATGTTTGTATCGATATTCGAAGATAGAAATTTCATTTATGTTTATAAAACGATACTTTAACGTGTAATGTACTTGTATTCCCCCCTAAAACATGAAAAAGAATTGAAAAGTAGGGGTATGAACTCACTTGTTAAGTTTGAAGAGAGGGACTAGAGTTAAGTAGAACTTCGATCGCGGATAGTTGCGTCGTCGGGCTCTTCGGGGATCTCTGCAACGTAAATCTTTCGTCGGGGGCTCGAGTGCGGAAACCGAGGTGAGGGGAGGGTCTCTGGAGCTTAGAAGTATGAGAGAATGACTGAGGGATTGTGATTTGTGTGCAAAAACTCGAGCTTATGCCTTCTATTTATAGGGCTGGAAACCCTCGTACGCGGCGCGTACCTCCGACGTACGCGGGGCGTAACAATGTCATGGCTTACGACTCCTGGCTAGCTAAGCGTAGCTTGGGCGGGCCGATGGGACTCGACTCTGGGTCTAGTACGCGGGGTACTCCCAGAGAACGCGGGGCGTAATCCGCCCTGTCCACTTCTAAATTCCGTAACTTTCGCGTACGAGCTCCGTTTTTCGTGTTCTTTATATCCACGCGTAGGTGAGATTATGCTCTACAACTTTCATTTAGACTCCGTCGGCTAGTTTTGTCTTTATTTTTAATAGGCCGGGCCTCCTAAAGTTCGTTTAAAAACTCATAGGTTCTTTATTCGACGTTGGTTTTTGTTTGTCTTTTCATCCATTTGTTCCTATTGCGGAGATCTTCAACTCTCATTTGGATTGCGTTAGCTAATTTACACTCGATCTTAAATTCGAGTTTTTAGCCCTCTAATACTGTTACGAAACTTCGAAAATTCGTAACTTCTTCATACGAGGTCCAATTTGGGCGATCTTTTTATGCACGCTCACCTTTTAACGAGATCTACGATTTATGTTTAGATACTTAAGGCTAAAATGCACATTATTGAGATTTTACTTTTTACGTCAAATAATGTTTTAACGGCGTATCGTAAATATACGAGTGGTTATAATTTCTTCAATATAATCCGGTTTTGAGCGTTCTTTATGTTTTCGGAAACCTTGACACGTTAGTTAGTATTTGATGCATCCCAACTTAGATATTTGAATACTTTATTTTCAAGGTTAATTTAGTTGTATTTGACTTTTGAGCGTTACAATGCTTTTGGAAAATATAGGGTTGTCACAGTATCTTTCGTTGGGGATTTCCTGGAAAAAATCATCGGATCTTCCTACAATTTCTTATAAAAGATATTCAGTCTGTCAGAATAAAAGTGAAAGAAGGTATTTATGCTCGTCGTGTCCTTTATATGGATATCAGAGGCGAGGGAGCCATTCCATTGACTCGTACTTAAGAGAATTTTACTCGACGGGAAATAGAACAAAAAGCTGCCGAATTGGCCTATTTCTTGCGTGTACCAATTGAAGTATTTTAAGAAATGAGCCGGAATGCTTTCTCAGCAGGAGGGCAAAAACGCAAGAATGCTCTTTTTCCATAACATAACTTAATTGAGTTTTCTTCAGAACATTCATTCGAGTCAAAGCAGACATATATGGAACAAGTATAAAAAAAAATTATTTTGGGGATCTTTTAAATGTATCGATTTAGATGTATCGAAATATACATAACTCAATTCAATAAAAAAAAACAAGAAACAAATCGAAATATCTCATAATCAACCATTTAGAAATAAGGAAATTCAACCCTTTTTAACTTGTTGGAATTGAAACTTTAGAGATCATATCTTGTAATTTTTTCGAAGCTTATTTTTTTTACTTTTTGTGCTCCGTAATGACCAAAAAATTGAATCTCTTATAATGATAATTAGCAAATTTATGTCGTTTTTTGTCACTCATTTTTCACAATATTCTTCAGAAATTTCCCTCAATTATTCTATCCTTGACTACTCATAGTAAGTTCAATTTTTTCGAAATATTAGAGATTTTTATATATTACATGCAAATGTAAGTGACTCCTTTTGTGATCCAGATAAAGATAAGATGGGGCATAGATCACAGTTGCAGAAAGATTACTTAACCTATGGGGCATAGATCACAGTTGCAGAAAGATTACTTAACCTCAGGTTAAACAAAATATGAAAATACATATAAAATGAGGAAGTGCTTAGCCTATGGGTATGTATTGTTATCCTATTTCAGTGACAATA